CTTTTTACCTCTTCACCACGGCGGATGTTACGTTTTGCAAGATCGTCTCCCCAGATCTGCTCACAAACTGCCACTCATCTGGTGTCATCGTGACGGACCCTAAACACCACAAATGGGGCATTAACAAATAATTTACCACCAAAGTTTACATCGTTAGGGGTGGGAGAGCAGTGGCGCCGCGGTTAGCGTGCTGCGCTACGAATCCAGTGTCCTATTTCCAATCCCAGCGATGACCGGTCGCAGTCAAAAAAAGTTCAAAGTGATTTCCTGCTCTAAAATAAGCGGCGCTCATCCTTCAGTTTCCAACCCCGAGAGGTGGACATTCCACATTCCTATGGCGGTAACGAGTCTATCCATTGCACAGCCACTGTTGATCTTCCCCACTTTGTAATAATTGTGTTGTCTACCCCTAGAAGGATGATGGGCCAAGTCAACCAACTATGGTGTGGAACCCGCAAGCTCGTGATTGTGAGCCACTCGCTCGCCTACAGCCTCCCCACCCGACCTGCTTTGCAGTGGCGATATCGGAATCCCCTCCCCACCGACCCCTTCAACACGCCCCAGTGACCAGCGTGGCGAAGTATGGTCAAGCAACCCAAATGACTTAACAGTGCAGGGAGGACATCGTCCAGCAGTGACACAATGAGAAGAAAATTTGTATTCTCATTTACGAACCATACGAAGAAAACCCACGCCTCAAATTGTCCGTGCCACGTGTCCAAGCTTAAGTATTTAACTCGGCAATATGCATTTGTACTCTGATGCACATGGAACAAAATTGCATGTCATTGAACAGGCTTCCATTTAAAATCAGCTCTCGTCAGGAGACAAAAAGGAACACGTTGATTAGAGAACACACGCAGGATAGAGACTTAATTTTCAGTGTTAAGAAAATTGGGCTTGGGCAGGACATGTCTCGGCTAGAAGGGACGGCGATGGCCGATGCTCCAGAATAATAAGTGGAAGCAGCCAAGGAATGGAACAAAAAACCAGAGGACACTGCACAAAAATCCACGCAACCACGGGGAAACCATGCAAACTCAAAATATACAGGCGTCAGGGTGAGGATCGAACCAACGACGTCCTGCGTAGCAGGCGTGGTAGTTACCATATCCGCCACTGGGGGGTATTGACTCAGCCCATCACCTGGAAGACCACCGAGGAGATGGAGAGATGAAGTCAGCTCTGCCCAGGTGCTCGACTGATCGTCACATCACAGGGCCATGAGTAATGGTGACGGCTTGAGGTCTTCATCCAACAGCGGATCGTCCAGGACCGATGACAATGAATACGTTACTACTGCCAAGCTCACCCACTTGCACGTCATGCCCAAGTAAAATGGGGGTATTAACTCAGCCCATCATCCCTCAAGGGTCGTCAAAATGAGTACCTTCGTGGGTAAGTCGACAGTGGTTATCCTATTATATGCCACCAACACAGTAGGAATGTGGAACTTCCACCAATTGCTCAGGGCTGTAAAGAGATGAGTACTCGTGCCTCAATGCTTGTTGAAGCAGGAAATCACTTTGAATTCCTTCCGGCTGTGGAGGGAAAGGAGGAGCGAGAGAATGGGAGTGGCCGAGTCCCCGAATCCCACGGCTGGGACTTTCTAGGAATATCCTGGAACTAGCCGGCAGGGATCGCAGTCACCCGTGGGAGCACAGCATCACTGTGAACGGACTCGAACCTGCTCGTCAGATAAAGGTATTCCCATTACCATCAGCCACGGGCTCTCCACTGCTAGACCTGCCCAAGCCGTTACCATCTCTCGTGGTGTGGCGATGTAACAATCCGTCGGACTTGTGCACACGACTGGATTTCATCGCTCCAACTCCACGGGGAATGTACTCTCTGGCGGGTTCCCTCTGTGGGCTACCAGTCCCTTCTTATTTTTGCCCACCAGTCAGTCAGCATCACTTCTACATAGACTCTACACATCCACTCCGCTGTGTATTCTAAAGATCCAATCCACTCTGTATTCTACAGAATTGCGCGATTCGTCAGCCATGTTCAATCCACCGTGGATTTTACAGAATCATTCCACTGTGGCTTCTACAGCATCACTCCACTCTGGGTTCTACAGCATCACTCCACTCTGGGTTCTACAGCATCACTCCACTCTGGGTTCGACAGATTCACTCCACTCTGGTGTGTGAAGTTCAGCACTGGGGGAGAAATGTGGCCTGGCATAGTGCTAGCCACACCGGCCCCTCGTGTGCCATGCCAGTAATTATAATGTGTACTCGCTGATACAACTAGCCTCAACAGTCTTTATTGCTGTAGGGGGGAGGGGATCTTCGTATTTGTATGGACAGTATACACGTAGAGCTCACTGCTGGATGATAGCCTCCCCTGCCAAGCTGGTTGCGGGGGGTAATTTGACCAGATGCATTTGCGAGGGTGCGGAAATGTACACACCCTGCTGATGTGCTTTCTGCCAGTGCTTCGCAGGAGTGTGCCTGGTTCAGAGAAAGGCTCATCATGGGCAACCACAGAAGGGTGGACCCACAAGTCATGGCATGGAATTATACAGCAGAGATTCAGCGACCGCTTGTAATGCGAGGCACCGATAATTCCACAAATTACAATCATCAATCAAAATCAGTCATGATCAATCCAATGCTGCATAATGTATAAAGGGGATGCAATATGGGACCGATTTATTCCATAGACTATCAATTGTCGGTCACGTTCAATCCACCGCAGGATTGAGTCATCCCTGGCCCATCAAGCCATCAGCATCTGTCACGATTCTGCGATGTAGCAACTCCACCTGGCACCTTCTGTACACGAGCCAATTTCATTTCCCCATCTCTCTTTTGTGACGTTCCCGACAATCGGCTCTCAAACCTTGCCCAGCTACGGTGGCTGTCACCGACGGAGTGTAGAGACGCAAGCAGAGATGGAAGGTGGTCGAGAATGATGGAGTGGCAGCCAAGCAATGGAAGGCGTCAGAGAGGTCGTCCACGGAAGGAAATTTTGCGCCGAAATTAGCGGTGGGCACTTGGCCGATTCCATCGCGGGCTCGCGAGAGACAGCGACAGCTTGCGGGAGGACTTCATCCAGCAGTGAACGGAGCACGGCTGATTATTACGATGCACCGCTCATGACCATGGCTGACGATGCTGACGATCACGATGTAGTTACTGAGTCTCAGCTGGACTTGTGTCACGTGTCAGGCTTCCAGCCCTTCCACGGCAGAACTCGGCATTAATGATCGTCGGCAATGGCACAATGCAGTGCCGAATGAAAAGCTCACTCCAGAGCAGTCGCCATCTCTCACGACACAGAGGATGACATCAATCCACCGAGCCCCGTGCCGCACTCCCATCCGACAGCATTGCTCCATCTCTCACGGGGACGCACCCACATGACCCCTTCTTTCACGGGGGTTTTTTTTTTTCGCCTGCATCCCAGTTCTTAAGCATAGCCAGAACCGCACACGCACCACATCGCAAATGGTCGGGTTCCTTAACCCTTCCGCAATTTCATGATCCTTTACATGATCGTCTTGCTTTGTTTCAGCAGCAGCAGCAGTAGCATCTATGATCAAATCCACTGCTGGATGAGGTCGTCCGTCTCCAACGCCCCCACTACCCCACGGCGTCCCTCCCATCGCGCTCGACGTTCACGGTGAGCGTCGCGAAATCACGCGTCGCTCCGCCTCGCTCCATCTCCACTTGGGAGGTCCCCCCCACCCCCACCCCACTCCCCCCCACCTCCACCCCCCACCCCCCCACCTCCACCCCCCCCCCACCCCCCCCACCTCCACCCCCCCCTCTCTCTCTCTCTGAGATTTTTAACATGGCGGGGCTCGGGCCCCCATGGGCGGGGTAGGAGCCTCGGCCTCGCCTGGCCTCCCCCTGCCGACCGGGACGCCGCCCGCCCCGGCCAAGCCGCTCAGGCGAGCACCGTAGGCGCAAGCAAAGACCGTGGGGGCCTACGGGTGGATCGAGCAAACCGGCTCCTACGCGGCGGGGCGCTGTTTTAAAACGACTCCCAACGTCGTTTTAAACACTTTGTGACGGATTCCGAGAGGCGCGGACTACGCGCCGGGCGGCGTTTCGCTCGATTTGATTTCGTTTCCTCTCGCTCGCTCGCGAACAATGGCGGCCTCCCCCCCCCCCCCCCCGGCAGGCTGCGACAAGAAGACCCAGGCCGCGCCGTGAAGGGGGCCGAGAGGCGAACAACGACACGAATGTTGCCGCCTCTCCCCTCACGACGACGACGGCGCTCATCGACCGACGGCGGCCGACGACGCGAGGGCTTCTCTCGGCCGCCCCGCGTAGCGAGAGCGGCCGCGGTCTCTCCCCACCACCTCCTCCTCCTCCCCTCGGCGCGAGGAAGACGCCGCCCTGCAATGGCGGCTTCCTCGCGCCGAGCTTCCTCGGGGGCGGTCGTCGGTTGCGAATAAAATTTCGTTTAAAATTCGAATTTGTACAAAAAAAATAAAGTCGATTTGACACAACTGTTGATTTGTGTGGCGAGAAAAACTACGGAGCGTGGAGGCGGGAGCGGTGTTGGTTTCGAGTACATCGGCTCACGTGTTAAGAGTTGAATTATGGTTAACGTCGGCAGGTTGGTTACGAGATGCAACGGGCGGCGGCTCGTGAAGTGTGATTGATCTTGGCCGATAAAGATCTACGCTAAAGATGACTGATTTGACGATGATCGTCATCACGTGAAGATCATCTGTCGGGATGCATAAACTGGATATAACGCGGTCGAGATTCCCACCGCGGCGAGTAAAGATGGGGATCAAATCGTCAACTCAAACCACCGCCGTCTTTAGACTGTGCACCACACAGTACAGCAGCAGTAGCAGCAGCACACATCCACACACAATGCTCCATTACTATAGCAGAACCTCGGCAGTGCTCCTCGGCTCGACATGAAACTCGCAAAACGACAACGGAGCCGACAATCCCCCCCCAACACGACCCACACACAACAACCACCACCAGCAGCGAGAGAGAGAGATAATGTAGCCGTCTCCTTACCTTGAACCTCTTGTCCTGCAGCACCTTCTTGATGGCCACCATCTCCCCGCTGTCGCACAGCTTGGCCTGGTACACGACCCCGAAGGAGCCATTGCCGATCACCTTCGTGTCGGTGTAGGAGACCTCCTGGGGCCGCTCGGGCCCCTGGCCCGGTGTCGCCACGACGGTCGTCACCTTGCCGCCGTCTTTATCCCCTTAGATTAAGGGGGAGTCAATCAACAACAGCAGCAAACACAACACACACAACACCATCGTCGGCTACGGCTACTGCTGCTGTTGCTGCTGTTGTATCAGCAACGACAGCGCCCAGAGCCGAGCGAAGTGAACACTAAACGTAAAATCGAACGCGGGGCTCTGCGCGTGCTGCGGGCTGTCGTTGTCGTCCTAATGTCGTCCCAACGTCGTCCTGACGTCGCGACGAAGAGTGTCGATCCGATGGCGTTCACGCGGAACTTACGGCTGACTTTGAGGTTCCCGAAGAGCGATGGCTGCGCGGCCCGGTTCGGGCCTTCGGCGAAAGACGAGGTGCGGGGCCGTCCACTCATCGCCCCTCCTCGTCCTCCTTCTCCTCGTCCTCCTCCTCTCTCGGTGTGACCCGGACGACGACGATGATGATTCTTGTTGTTATCTTCTCGACGTCGTCGTTGTGGTGGTGAATGTGTCGAGCGATCTCCCCCCTCCTGCTCCGCCTGGTTATTGTTCTGCCGCCGCCTTCAGCCCCGACTCGCCCCGCGCCTCTCGGTCTGCGCCTCACGACGTGTGCTGCTGGGGAGGCCACATCCCCACACTACCCCCCCTGTGTGTCTCTGTGTCTGTGTCTCTGTCTGTGTGTCTGTGTCTCTGTGTCTCTGTGTGTCTCTGTCTGTGTGTCTCTGTGTCTGTCTGTGTGTCTCTGTGTCTGTCTCTCGCTGTCTGTCTCTGTGTGTGTCTATGTGTCTCTGTGTGTCTGTGTCTCTGTGTCTGTCTCTCGCTGTCTGTCTCTGTGTGTCTCTCTGTCTGTGTCTCTCTCTGTCTCCCTGTCCGTGTCTCTGTCCCTGTGTGTGTGTCCCCCTCTCTGTCTCCCTGTCTGTCTCCTCGTCCCCACCTCCACCCCTGTGTGCGATGTATCTCCTGGTGTATCTCCTGTTAGACCTCCTGATGTATCTCCTGTTAGACCCCCTGTTAGATCTCCTGATGTCAGACCTCCTGCTAGACCCCGTCAGCTGTAGCACGGTGCTGGTGGTGTTCCTTCACGCTGCCTCCCCCTCCACCTCGTCCTTTGCTTCTCTGGATCTCCCCCTGCTCTCTGATTATCTATTTCATCCACACTACCCCTCTCTCGCCAGGCGATTAGCTACCGATAATGATCTCCTATCCTCGTCTAAGTGAAACACGGCTTACTTTGGATGCCTCTCTTTAAAACAAAGATATTCGTACGCGCTCTGCTTATCTCCCCCGACTACAACACGAATCCTCTTGCGTATCTCCTCGCAGCGCTCCCGACCCCAAAGTTGGACCCTAATGGAAGTGACGAGCAGAGCCCCGATGTCGTGAGGCCACGAGGCAGCCCCCCACGCCCCCCAATCCTGACCCCCAACAGCAGCAGCCCGAGAGCTCCACTTGCCGCTCTCCGGCCCTATTACTGTAATCGCCAATAGGATTATGAGCTCGTCACGCCGCCCCCCCCCCCTCCTCTTCGTCCACGCGGCACGGACCCTGCCGCCAGACCTCGTCAGCCCGCACACATCGACTTCCAGAGATGAGGAGGAGAGCGAGTTAATATTACTACTACTCCTGCTGCTGCTGCTGCCCCACTCGTGTGTGTCTCTCTCTCTCCCCCCCCGCGTCTAATTGCGACCTATTGTAACACCCGTCTCTCTATCGCGGATTGTAGAAGGCGCTGGGGCTGCGGCGAGCCGCCCCACCGGCTCAGAGACAGCGTCTCTCCCCCCCCCACCCCCAACAGCTTCCCAACACTCGTGAGCTGCTGCTGCCGCTGCCGCCGCGGGCTCTTCTCCACTGCTCGCCTCGCCTCGAGACTGCCGGCCGAGGGCGCGAAGAGCCGAGGCGGAGGAGCAAGCCGCAGATCTCCTCTTAAAAATGACCTACAGTCTCTTCTCCACGATGGGCGGAATCGATTCTGAAGGTGCCGCGATTCGCACTCGGCTCACCCCACGCCCAGCCCCGCCGCCCGCCGCCGGTGTTAACAACGGAATCGGAATCGAATCGAGTTTTTTTTAATACGGAACGCGATTGCGCTCAATGTCGATTCTATAAATGTGGGAATCGAATCGATGTTTTTAAAATTGTATTTTGGCATCTGATTTAAAGGTTTCGTGACTGCAGGGGTTCATCTTCTTGGTTCTTTCGGTATAGTCATGTAGAAGGGAAATAATTGTATTTTATTAGGCTTTATTTTTATTATTTCCCTTCTACGTGACTTTACCGAAAGAACCAAGAAGATTTTAGCATCTGAACAACACATCACAGCATCTGAACAACACATCACATTCAATGTCACAATCAAAATCTTTATTAATCCTGGAGAAATCCGATGAGCCATGAAGCTATTTTTCACAGATGTCCAGTCGGAGCAGGTCAGAGAGCCATAACAAACAACACAAAAATGGCCCAATTATAAGGGCCATGACCCGAAACGTCGATCATTATATATTTACCATTTACGGTCACACGCACGCGGGGCTGTTATGAACACGGAACGTTCAGTCGTTGTTTGCGCGCCACTGCTAAAGCAACAACAACAGCAGCGTCACCAGATAACACAAAAATGAGCATAAACTCAATACGTGCATCATTAACACCGTGCCCTTAAAAGAGTAAAAAATATTTGATGGGCGACGTTTCGAGCAATGAACCTTCTTCATGGCACATACATCCATCCAATGTGGGTGTGTCCCGAATTAAAAGCGTGATCATCCACATTTAAATGTTTACATTTTTATCTTCAAAGTGCTGCTCACAATGAGCATTGAACGATTGGTGCTTATCAACTTAAATTTCGATTTAAAGCTTTCGTGACTGCAGGGATTCATCTTCTTGGTTCTTTCGGTAAAGTCACCTGAGGACGGCTGCTTGCGTTGTGGCCGAAACGTCGTGAGAATTATTTTATTATGTTTTATTATTTTATTACTTCCCTTCTACGTGACTTTACCGAAAGAACCAAGAAGAGGCTTATCAACTTGTTACAGCCCTGCGAAGCCACGAGTGGAAATTCCACATTCCCACGGCGGGGCCTGCGCGTCTACCCATAGAACAACCACTGGCAACCTTCCACAAATTGGAAAGCACTTTATCGACCATTGGGGGATAGATGATGATGATGGGCTGAGTTCTCCTTTCGCGACCCGTTCACCCTCCGTTGAGCCACGTGACCATCCTCAGTCGTGGTCGATCCACTGCTGGATGAAGGCCGCCACCACCGGTCACGAGTCATCGCTGTGACGATCCTCCCGGCACCTGCTACTGCTTCTCTGCTCTGCACTGCGGTCCGTGTGTTGTTGTTGTGTTTGTTGTTGTGTTTGTTGTTGTGTTTGTTGTTGTGTTTGTTGTTGTGTCTGTTGTTGTGTCTGTTGTTGTGTCTGTTGTTGTGTTTGTTGTTGTGTTTGTTGTTGTGTGTGTTGTTGTGTGTGTTGTTGTGTTTGTTGTTGTGTGTGTTGTTGTGTTTGTTGTTGTGTTTGTTGTTGCGTCTGTTGTTGCGTTTGTTGTTGTGTGTGTTGTTGTGTCTGTTGTTGTGTGTGTTGTTGTGTTTGTTGTTGTGTTTGTTGTTGTGTTTGTTGTTGTGTTTGTTGTTGTAACTCGCTCACTCCGTGGCCCGACGGGACACTTGTGTAAAAAAAGAGCTTGATAGCTCTTCGGATTAATCCTCCTCCAGTCTGAATCACGATTCTGGTGCTGACCGTCCACTCTCTCTCTCTCTCTTTGGCATCTTGATGTGTGTGCCATGAAAGAGGGGCATTGCCTTAAACGTCACCCAACATATTGTTTCGTTTGAGGCTACACGCGGTGCTGCTGTTGTTGTTGACACGGCACGTGCTGAGTTGTTGTCTCTTGTGGCGATGAGATGTTAACTCCCTCGCCAGGTGTGCAGGAGGTCGTGGGTTCGACCCCGACCCTGACGACGCCTGCTGCTGCTGCTGTGGGCAACATCTCTGGCGTCTGCGTGGTCGCTGTGATTTTTCTCCGGATCCTCCCGTCCCCCCTCCACGTTTAGCATCAACGCCGCCACGCGTTCTAGGGCTTTTGGCTCCCACGCGATGATGACGACGCTGACGGCCACTTCGCTATCATTTGTGATAGCCAGCCAGGTCGCGTCTGAAGAGAGAGGGCGACGTAGCAGATAAAATAAAACACAATTTAGTTTATATTCCACCCCCCAGGAAAGTGTCACTGAGTCGCTGGGCTCTTTGTTCAGAAGGCTCTTGCCAAGTTCTCGCAGTAGGGGGCGATGTTGCCACTGCTGCTGCTGCTACAGCTGTAGCAGCAGTAACCGCGTGGTGTCCCAATCGAGTGATTTGTATGGGATTCTGTTGAGCATTGGGGGTGGGTTTGGGCCGATGCAGGTGACACTGGGTGGGATCATTTAGCCGTGGGGGGAGGAGGAGGAAGCCGGGGAACACGGAGGGAACCCATTGAGAGAGCAAGGGGAGAGAGAACACACCGAGAGAGAGAACACACACAGAGAGAACACACACACAGAGAGAGAGCACACACACACAGAGAACACACACACACAGAGAACACACACACAGAGAGAACACACACACAGAGAGAGAGCACACACACAGAGAGAACACACACACAGAGAGAACACACACACACACAGAGAACACACACACAGAGAACACAGAGATAGAACACACACACACACACAGAGAACACACACACACAGAGAGAACACACACACAGAGAACATACACACAGAGAACACACACACATAGATAACACACAACACACACACAGAGAGAACACACACAGAGAGAACACAGAGAGAGAACACACACACAGAGAGAGAGAACACACACACACAGAGAACACACACACCCACAGAGAGCGAGAACACACACACACACACACAGAACACACACACACAGAGAACACACACACAGAGAGAACACACACACACACAGAGATAACACACACACATAGATAACACACACACAACACACACACAGAGAACACACACAGAGAGAGAGAACACACACACAGAGAACACACACACAGAGAACACAGAGAGAACACACACACACAGAGAACACACACAGAGAACACACACACAGAGAACACACACACACACACAGAACACACACACAGAGAGAGAACACACACACACACAGAGAACACACACACACAGGGAACACATAGAGAACACACACGCACAGAGAACACACACGCAGAGAGAACACACACAGAGAGAGCACACACACAGAGAGAACACACAGAGAACACACACACAGAGAACACACACACACACAGAGAACACACACACACAGAGAACACACACACAGAGAACACACAGAGAACACACACAGAGAACACACACACACAGAGAACACACACACACAGAGAGAACACACACACAGAGAACACACAGAGAGAACACACACACACAGAGAACACACACACACAGAGAACACACACACAGAGAGAACACACACACACAGAGAGAACACACACACACACAGAGAACACACACACACACAGAGAACACACACACACAGAGAGAACACACAGAGAACACACACACACAGAGAACACACACAGAGAACACACACACAGAGAACACACACACACAGAAAACACACACACACAGAGAACACACACACACACACAGAACACACACACAGAGAACACACACAGAGAACACACACACAGAGAACACACACAGAGAACACACACAGAGAGAACACACACACAGAGAACACACACACAGAGAACACACACACACAGAGAACACACACACACAGAGAACACACACAGAGAACACACACACACAGAGAACACACACAGAGAGAACACACACACAGAGAACACACACAGAGAGAGAGAACACACACACACACAGAGAGAACACACAGAGAACACACACAGAGAGAACACACACACACAGAGAACACACACAGAGAGAACACACACACAGAGAACACACACAGAGAGAGAACACACACACACAGAGAACACACACACAGAGAACACACACTCACAGAGAGAGAACACAGAGAGAGAACACACACACACACAGAGAACACACACACAGAAAACACACACACACACAGAACACACACACAGAGAACACACACACACAGAGAACACACACACACAGAGAACACACACACAGAGAACACACACACAGAGAACACACACACAAAGAGAACACACACACAGAGAGAACACACACACAGAGAACACACACAGAGAACACACACACAGACACACACACACAGAGAGAACACACACACACAGAGAGAACACACACACACAGAGAACACACACACAGAGAACACACACACACACACAGAGAACACACACAGAGAACACACACACACAGAGAACACACACACACAGAGAACACACACACAGAGAACACACACACAGAGAACACACACACACAGAGAACACACACACAGAGAACACACACACAGAGAACACACACACACAGAGAACACACACACACAGAGAACACACACACAGAGAGAACACACACACACAGAGAACACACACAGAGAACACACACACAGAGAGAACACACACACACAGAGAACACACACAGAGAGAACACACACAGAACACACACAGAGAACACACCACACAGAGAACACCACACAGAGAACACACACACAGAGAACACACACACACAGAGAACACACATACACACAGAGAACACACACACAGAGAAACACACACACACAGAGAACACACACAGCGAGAACACATACCACACACAGAGACACACACACAGAGAACACATACACACACAGAGACACACACACACACACAGAGAACACACCACCACACAGAGAACACACACACACAGAGAACACACACACACACAGAGAACAACACACACAGAGAACACACACACAGAGAGAACACACACACAGAGAGAAACACACACACAG